AGATTGCTCTGATTGCCTGTGCGATTGCTTCTTTGCCGGACTGCAGCAATGGCAGCATCCCCAACCTTGTCGACTGTTCCCGAGCTCCGGTACGAGGATATGACTGGAGAAGAGTTGGCACAGGAAGTGGCCGACTTGAGTGGATTGACTGTCGAAGAGCTCACTGGTTGCGCTGCACCTGTCTGCAGGAATCCCGGACAACCGGGAAGATTTGATCAGACTGGCAACTGGCGAGTCATTTGTTCACAAGAGTGCACCCCGATCCGAATGCAGCCGGAGTGCTTGTGGCGGAAGTCCCACTGGAGACAAATGCAGATGAGGTAATGGTCGCTGAAGTCGTGAATGGACCTCAGCAGATTGACGCAGCAATGGGAATCAGGACTGGCCCGAATGAGGCCACTGCCTCGGCAGCTGCTCCTGCCGCGAATGCTGCGAATGCCTCGGAGACTGCAACTGCCTCGACTGGGAGATCGTGGACGGCTCCCCCGATTGACGCGACGCACCTGATGTGCGAGAGAGTGTGGGAACACCCACTGTCAAGGAATGGCAAAGGGAATCGGGAAGTGTGTCACGCACTGAACCTGATGAATCTCGGCACAGAGTTGAAGAAGATTTGGAGACGACTGGATGACTATGTCACTGTCGACAGCCGAGATGTGAAGGACAAGATCGAGACTGACGCGTGCGAAATGGCCAACAAAATGATGGAGGCACAGGTCAGACTGGCCGAAGCTGTTTACAAGAGAGAGTGGAGTGAGGAATGCCCCATTATCTCCCTCCACCTGCCTGGTACAAGAAGTGGAGGACTGTCGGGATGCCGATTTGAGCACCCTGATGAACACAGCAATGCCCGATGTCGAGCCTGAGGCTGAGAATGAATTCTCTCGGAATCAGGACGAAAGTCTCCAACAATGTCAATCAGTGCATGCTGGAGCCTGGCTGGTTCGCAATGACCAAGGCGGAGAGAATGTTCCTCACCAAGGGAACCTGGGAGATCAAATGGCACATGGACCCGAATGACTATGACAACCTGGTCCAGGATTTGGTCCATGTCTACGACTGGATCCTACTGCCATCGAGCATTGGCCAGCGCTACTTTGAGACTGGCGAGATTGATCTGAGCAGGTTTCCCTGCCACCAGCTGAATGGCAGTTTCTGTGCACTGACGGCAATGAGGAAGACTGTTCTATGATTCTGTCAGGGAGTGTTCGACGAGAATGCCCCGTATGAAAGATTGGTCTTCGTGGTGCGCCGGAGATCGACTGCCGAAGCCGCCAGAGAGTGGACTGGCGTTACCACTGGTGCAAAGAAAATGAAACTGGCGAATTATTTTAATCGCCAATTCACTGACCACATCAGCACCCAGAATGGCGTCCATGTGGAGAATGAGGAGAAGAATGTTCCAAGCCGATGGACTTGGACTGTCCCGAGTGATGCATCCAGAATGAGCATGGGCATTATCCGAATGTCAACGGACGATGCAATGAGCTATGCCCAGAGTTGCCCCCAGCTCCTCTGCCTCGCCGAAATGATGGACTGGAATCGATTGGCCACCCTTCCGAACAGTGGCCTGACCGAATGGCGACTGATGGGACACACCATGGTTCCGACTGTTCAAGCCTATGGCTCAGGATTGGAGCATGACTGTTCCACCTGGGACGAAATGTATGGCGCCCGAATGCTTGGAATGCCCCGGCCTCCTCCTCGACTGCGGCACCGAAGAAGACTGCGGGAACAACCTCGCAGGGATCCTCGGCGACTGTCCTCGCACAGGTCGCGAATGCTTTGAGCCCTGGAGCGGAAGTTGTTCTCCGCATGAATGCGAATGCCAAGGCCGGCAAGAAGTGAATGGCAATGAGTGCAGCCATGTAAATAATTAAGGAGTGCCATGTCAACTGCC